TTTTTTTATTCACAGGATGATGAATTATAAAGACGATGCAATATTACATCCAAGAATAATAGGAAGCAGAACTTAAGAGGACAATAATTATAGTAAAGGGTAATATAAAATAATTACTTGAAAAAATAATTCAAGAATTTTAATTCTTTTTATTTTATTCTTTCTAGCAACGTATATGTATGATAGTTATTTTTAATGTACCCTTTTTCTTCTACAGGTACCATCTAATATCTTCTTTTTTTTTTTCACAGGTACCGTCTAATATTATATATATATTTATTTTTATTATACTATATTTTAGGTAGATTAAAAATTATTAAATATCAAGTATTCATAACTTGTAATTTCCGAAGGTACATATATTAAAATTATTCTAGGGTGTGTTAGTAATAAGTATCATCGAATTTGTTTCGATTGAATTTCTATTCAAGTTACACTCCTTATTTATCATTTTGTATTTTTTAGTAATAAAATTTTTCTCTTGTATTTTCGATAATGATTTTATGGATTTTTCGGATGGTACTCTTATGGAGGGGCCTAAGAGTTAGATTTATTCTTTTTAATTGTATTCGGATGTAAGCATCTTTAGGATGCACATCCCTCTTGGGTCTTCAGAAGCGGTTACCTCCTCGTGGTTAGACCCGGGCAATGGTATTTTACTTTCCATGTAATGTTTAACATAGTTTTATATGTTTTACATTCCATTGCAAGGGAAATCCAGCCGAAGACCGCTTAAACCATAAACATTATAATTGTAATTAGTTTCTTTTTAACTTCCTAATTAATATCATATTTCTTTTATTCCTTTCCTTGATTCCTTCTATCCATTTCATCTACAGAAACTAATTACCTTATAATGTTCTGTAATAACTTTTACATATTTACAGATAGTCATTTTAAACGAAATCGTTTGCATTCATTTAATCAAGGTTCCTGAATTGAAATTAATTATGAATTTTTTAATAATAAACACAAATTATTATCGCCCATTAAAGAAGATTGTTATTTTTTGTTGAAATTTATATTTCTCTGCTTTCAAGGACAACCAAGATCCATGGTATACTAGTTCGTTGAATTCGTATTAATACGTGTTATAATACTGTAAAGTTAAAAATACAAAGTGCTATTTAAAAAAAGAAAGGTAGTCTTAAAAAATATTAAAGAAAAAATTTTGTTCGAACTTTGTTTTATTGCAATGTATACTCAAACAAATACTGATCAACTTTTATTTGAAGTATTTTTTTTAGGTTATCGTAAGTAATTAAAAAATCGTGAAAAGAGGTATGTGGGACACCCTGTATATACATAATTCTTATTATAAAAATATATATTAAGAGTAATTTAATTTATTATTAAAAGAATTATATTTTTTATGAATTAAATAAATAATCTATACATCATTATTTACAGTAATTGCAGTGGATTTGTCTACATTTTCTTCATTTACAGAAGCCATTATTTTTTCATCTTCCGCATCTTCTGCATTTTTTTCATTGCATGAATTTATACATTTATCTTTTTCTTGTATACTAGCCGAATTATCGCTAACGTTACTACCACCTGCATTCACATTCGATTGCGTTGCTTGTTTCAAAGCTAAATATTCTTCAACCGAGCCAGTTGGTTTCGTTTCTTCTTTATCATTATTAACTTCTGTAACCCGAGATGGCGAAGAATTTAAATTTGGTGAATTAGTGAGTTTGGAAAGTCTTTGACGTTCTCTTAAACGTTTGCGAATTTCAGATTGTATTTTTGATTCTTTTATAACGCTTTGAACATCGTCTGTTTGATAATAACGAGTCGCCCATGTTTCGGCTGATTTCAATTTTTGCGAATTGGATAAATTAGAGTCTGTCACTAAAGAATTCTTTTGTTCCTTTGCAATACTATTATCCTTAATTTTAGTTTGTTCTTGATCTTTATTTTTATTCTTATCATTGTCACAATTTTCCAAGTCATCCATGTCATCAGAATAATTATCCAAATCAATTATTTCCTCAAAATCAGCCAATTTATCTTCATCAGAAACAACTTTATCTTTCGACTGTAAACCAGATGGTACAGATTCTTTCTCTACTTTCGATATATTTTCTTCTATTAATTTTTCTTTTTCTTCAGGCACGCTTGTTATTTCTTTTTTCTTTTCTAAACATTCATTAGTTTTATTATCTGTATTTGAAGAATTGTCAGGTCTTTCTTCACTTTTAGAATGTGATTTCTTTTTGACTCTTTTACGTTTTACAGTATTGTCAGCAACATTTGTAGACGATGATGCAGAACTATTTTTATTTTGTGAAGTATGAAAATTACACCTTTCTTCGGTGATAATATCAGTTTTTTTATCGTTATCTTTTCCACTAACTAGTTTTGATTCTTTAACCCCTTGTTCTATAGGACTAGTTATGACATTTTTATTATCTAAATTGGTTGCATTTTCTATTTTACGTTCATTTTCTAATTTTTGATTAACCCTTGTTCCAACCTCATCATTTTCACTTTCGCTAGATAATAATTCAATGGTTGGTGTAGGTTGAACAACTAAAACTACGTCTTCTTCCTCACCATCCATTCGTTGAGAACTTATAATTTTCTCTAATTGCCTTCGGCAATTCTCTTTCGCATTAATCTCATCAAGTCTTGTTTTATTAACATGATTTTCTTCAATTGCACCATTTTTTACCAATGCCTTGGTTTCATTAGAACTTGGTATTATATCATCTTCTTTACGTATCAAAGCTCTTATCGCCCTAGCACGCATTTCTAATTCTAACAAATCTAACAAACTATCCGCTTCTTTTTCTTTACCTGTTTCTTTCTCATCTTCTTTCTTAACTTTTACTTCCTTATACTTATTATTGCTTCCATCTTTATTAGTAGTCTTTGATTTAAATTTACCATTTCCTGCATCTTCCCTTTTATTATTACTTTGTGATTTCATTTTATTTGTATTCTTGTGTTTCTTCAGTTTTGTTTTTCCAGATATACTATCTTCTTTTTTAATATTATCATCCTCGGTAAGCCATTCCTCAGTGTCAGATATAATTTCTAAGGACGGACCTAAAATAATAAACATTGGTTAAATTGTAAACAATGTTTAATTTATTAAATTTAATATTAATTTAAATTTAATATTAAATGTATGTGCAGGGTGTTAATTCACATGGAAGATTTAACTACCTGATTCATCCGATTCACTAGTGTCTGATGATTCTAACATTGGTTTTCCGTCCAGTATGCATAACACACGAGTTTTTGACATTCCACTTAACTCACTAGCACACCATTCTTCTAATTCTTCAAAATCCATTTTCTAGGATGTAAATTTATCAAATGTATTAAATTTAAAGACTCTTATATGATATTAACTATTGATACTATAACATTATCAAATCTGATAAGCCTTAATGTATCTTTTAAAAATTACTAAATATTTAAAAATATATATTATTATAAGCATTAATTATACCTTCAATGCTTGTGGTAACATCATACGTATTTTTTCTGGTTTAACAGATTTAAAAAGTTGACGTGCTAATTCTCTACGGTTTGACAGATAATCTTTCATAGGTTTTAAATCTCTTGCATCTATTTCCTCATCCGATGATACAGATGAAGAAGAATATGATGAACTAAATTCCTGTAAAATAATATTTTAATTTAGAAATTAGAAAATTTTGACTAATTATTGTTTTTAAAAACATAACCTTACTAACTTCGCTACTATGAGAATTCTTCTTAGTTTTCGACATCTTTCACATTTGTATTTCTTTTAATACCAATTAGATATTAAATTAAATGTATTGAATTGTGTTTCACAACAAATTTAATCTCTTACACAATTGATATTAATTTTTTCAATTTTATCAATTTCATATCATTAAAGAATGTAAAAGTACACAGAAACTCATAAGTCTGCTTTTTGTGTAACCAAAATCATCTTAGTTAGTACCGGGATCACTAGAGGGTGAGAGTAGGTATTTAAAGGGATGACGGTACACACTATCAAATAATACAGTATTCTAATAGTAATTAATATATAAATATATTTCGATAAATAAATTCAACGAACAATTTATGAAATAGATAGAAAAGTTTATATGTACAGCATTAAAATATTTGTAATTGTTTCGATGAAAATGTAAAATAAATTAATTTCCATATAAATATGCTCTCTTCTCAGATAACGATACAAATAAAGCTATAGTATGGTGTACTGCTATTGGTCACATGATTGCCGTGATTGGTTGTGTGGTTGACATGTGATTCACTTTGTTGCATCCTTCGGTAGTATGCGTTTAACTTCAATTACAGATGGCGCTTTTACAAAGTGCATAGTCGCTTACTCGTATGTTAGAATCGCTATCAAGTTATAACCTATCATATTGTTGACAATAGATTGTCAACAAAATGTCTATATTTTAAAATAATCTTATAATTATGTTTAACTGTGGGTGTATATATAGATATAGTATTTTTTTTCTAAATGTGAAAAATGAAATGTAATAAATAGTTTTTATTATCCATGATTAATATACTTATAAATTCTTGGCAGGTGACAGCTAACCCATTGTATCAAATATATTGTCTTGTGTGTATATTGCACAAAAATTGAAGATTCCCCGCATGATCACATCCCACGATCGAAAGTGCATTAAAACACTTTCGATGGTAGTGGCTAATATTTGGATGAATATGAATGTTATATGACACAATACTTAATTGAATTAAAAGATTAGAAATTAAGATTCTTAAATAAAGAGAAATACAAATTCAAAATGTTAAACCGATTTAAATCAGTATTGATGAATGCTGTAGGAGTAAGTGATCTTGACTTACAGTATCCAAATGAATCGAACAATGATATGATGATAGATTATGTCAATTCTAATTTTGCAATAGAAGTAGAAAATAAACCTTATAGTCGACCTAGTTTCCTAGGACTTACCGCCGAAGAAACACAGGTATATTATTTTATTAGTATATTTATTTTTATGATACACTTTTTTAATGATTATTATTTTATTTAGTATATATATATATATATATATATTCATATACTTACTAAATTCCATGTTAGGTCAGTGCTGACCATAGAGTAAGACCTATAATAGTCCCAAGGGATTTAAGCCGATTACCATGGTGCGCTGGCTATGCCGAATGTATAAATGCTGGAAAAAGTGTTTGGAACGAGGATCAAGCATCTGCAACCAGAGGAGACCTAAAATTAACTGATCTGAATGTTTCGTTGCCTTATGTTATGTTTTCTATGTTTGACGGTCATGCTGGATATCAAGTAGCACTTACCGCAAGATTACATTTACACAGAATAATCCTTGTTAGTAGAGCACATTTATAAACTGCAATGTTTGTTTCTTAATATCTCATTGGCCATGAAAATGTATAAAAATTGTATTTTTAGGAAAGGCTGATCGCTATACCGAGTACTGTATTATTAAATGAAGATGAAGAAGAATTTATAAAAGGTAAAGATTTAGTTACAGGTGCTATTGAATTAGCTTACAGACAAATGGACCAAATGGTAGAAGCTCAAGCTCAAAATGGTGGTGGAGGCTGTACAGCTATTACTATTTTATTTCTTAATGGTAGATTATATGCAGCTGGTGCGGGTGATTCTAGGTTTGTACTTATATACGTACATATATATATATATAGAATACATTATATTTATTTTTATTTTTTTTTTTAACAGAGCAGTGCTTGTATTAGGAGATAGTCAACGTGCTCTTACTAGAGATCATACTCCTGATTCTGAATCCAATCGCGTAAGAGCCTTAGGACTTTTAAGAAGTCACGAATTACTAAAAGGTCACTTTACACCATTAGAATTCAAGAGAAGGCCATTACAGAAAGAATTGGGAACTATGGTCCTATATAGAGAACCTTACATGACTGGTTGGGCATATAAAACGTTATCGCATCCTGATTTAAAGTTACCTCTTATTTCTGGACATGGAAAACGAGTACGTTTCATTTTCACAGTGCCTTATATAGCTTTTGTTATAATACGTATATAAGTATATTTAATTTGACTATTAAAATCACAGAGTAGAGTAATGGGTACTATAGGAGTAACAAGAGGTTTTGGTGATCATGGCTTAAAAGCAGCCAATACAGGTGTCAGTATCAAACCGTTTTTATCCTCTCAGCCTGAAATACAATCCTTAAAATTGGAGGATTGCAATCTTACAGAACGAGATTGCATAATCATTGCTACCGATGGATTATGGGATGTTGTTTCTGACAAAACGGCAGCTACTATTCTTAGAAAAACACTTGCACCAGATACACCTTCTTTAGAATATAGGTAAACAAAAATTAGCAAATTAATCATACAAAAATAAAACCTAAAATCACACAACCGAATATCTTATTGATTAATATCTTAGGCTTACTATGGGTGCTCAAGAATTAGTACAAGCTGCTAGAGGTCGGTTAATGGGAAGAACATGGGTAGGAAAATCAGAAAATACTAATGAAAACGAAGATAAACTCTCTCTAATGGCTTCGGTTGACGATATAAGTGTAATGGTGGTACCATTGTATCCATATCTTTGCGAACATAGACAATGGTTAAAGTCAATTCAGCAGGAAAGAAAGTATTCTACTGATTCCTCACACATATCTATCAATAATTCGATACAATAATCACTATTAACTGAGTTATTAAAAGTGTGCATAAGAACATTAGTTTCTCTTAGAGAGAGAAAGAAAGAGAGAGAGAGTATAATCTTATGTATATGCAAATAATAATTATTAGTAATAATTTATGATTGACAAGAGAAAAGCATTTTCTTTGTATTTTCATATAATATATAAATTGAATTAATAATTTCAACAAAATGGTAAAGTATTCATTAAAAATAATTATTTATTATATACTGCCACTATAAAATCTAAAATATTTCAATTAGATTTTTTGTTTTTAAATATTTATGAAGTATAAAACTATATTCTGTATAGTGTTATACTAATCATATATAGGTATATATTTATTAAAAAGAACATTCCATTATTAATATATTAATATATTAATGTAGTTATATTGTTTTTAACAATCTTCAATTGTAAAAGTAGATGAATCTCCTGGGTTTGTATTGGATGGTTTTATCTCTTGTATAATTTTTTATTAAATTTCTCACAAAATCAAAAAATTATACGAACAGTGGTAAGATTAACAACCGGGAAAAAATTTATAAAATTATTTTTCTATTTTTTTTCTGGTATTAAATTATTATTAACAATGTTCTTATTATTTCTATATAATCATAGCACTTTTATTTGTAAAGTGGTACAAATTGATCGATTTAGCTAATATTATTAATTAAATTGTACATAATAGAATCAAAGTGTATTCTACTTTGAGTAGTATGTAACAATTATAGATTTTATTATCTTATCCTGTATAATATCTTCTTTTTAGCATATTACATTGTAATTATTGTATAAAATAAATCTAATGCACTTAAATAGGATATAATATTTAATTACAAACGTTTTCAGTGCATAAAGCTCGTGCAAAAGCTGACCATGATGCAAAGTTAAAATAACAAAGAATGAAAGTTCCTCAATTTTGAATAATGGATTTACGTTCAACCGTATTACTTTTTCCTTTATAATACAGCCTGTAAAATCGTAATGACAATAATGATATTTCACGCAAACGTACTCGAAAAGAGAATCTACTTACATTATTCCTATGCCGAATAATGGAAGAGCCAGAGAAAATAGTAATGTAGTGCGGTCTATCAAATTTCGTGCGTGAAAAATCCAATTAAAAAATTTTTCGTATTGTGTTTCGCGTTGTTTACCATATATTAAAAATTTGTATTCTTGATTAATCATTTTGTAAAAATTTATAAGAGAAGACATATTTGCCACGTGAGATTGACGAAATTTCAGGACCCAAAATCATTTACATTTTCATCTGCAAAAAGTGTTAAACTAAAAGTAATCTATTTTAATTAGAACGCGTTGAACACATGATGTAAGAAAACGCTTACAATGATCTTTCCTCTTTCCTTTAATAGGAAAATATGTGTGGTGGTCTTGAGTGCCAAACTTAGCAAAAGTTTCTACGAGTCTCGTGAAAGTTCACGAGAGTAAGATAACGACGATTGATTTATTACTCTGAGCAAAAGAATGAAGAAGAAAGGTCTTGTTTCGTCGGTTAATGAAAACAAAAGTAGGTTACAAACATGTCACGATCGTAAAGCTCAATTTTCGATAGTATGTAGCTCTCTTCGCTTGATATCTCTTGTATAAATTTATATTCGAAATAACACATTCTGAAATGGCAAAAGAAGATAACAATTCGATAGCTAATTGTAAGTCATAGGCGACACATTAAAAATAAATAAATTTAACAAATTTATTAACACTAAACGTATCTATTTCTACCACAATGGGTTAAATAACCCGTATTCAAAATGTCATATATTTTATACGACGTATGTATAGTATAAAATATACTACTTATACAATAAAGATTCTTGACTCATAAAATAGCGCTGTAACTTGTAAAAAATTTTTCCAAATATTTTAAAAACGGGTCGTTTGACCTGTTGTAGGTTTAATCTTAAGAAATAATGAATTTATCAACAAAAAATCTTTCACATCTTTATCAGGAAGCTAACAACAACTAAAACAAAAAAGTCACTTGATCCAGACGTCTTTTTGCTTGCTATTAAAGTTAATTTATAAAATGCTTAGATCGATGTCCAGGCATTTTGCAAACGCAGTTTACTTCTTCCCTCGAAGTTACGTGTTAAAAAATGAAAGACGTCACTTTTTCAAACGGTGTCATATCGTGGAAAAGTTTTTCATGACGAGTTATAACGGAACGATCAGTCACGGTCATCTAGGTGACTAACGCGAAGGGTTGTGGTGTACCTAATGCTTCCTCCCAGGTCAGGATGAAAAAAGAAAAGGAGGGTAGAAACGAGAGGAAAAGTACTTTAGACCTTATCAGAACAATTGAGATGTAGGGCTGTTCATCACTCCAGTAAAAAAGTGTCTAAAACATCATTTTAATCGTACTAATTGTACTGATCTTGATGAACAAGTTCTCATTTAAAGGATGAAGGCTCAAATGCTTTATCCTTCTTTTTTTCAATTTTTGAGAAGCTTTATTATTACGTTTTACGCATAAACTAGAAATAATATTTTTGAAAGCAATTTTGTTTACAGAAGAGAAACCTTAAAGCCTCACCACTTACATCACTATATCATTAAGAATGTTTTGACGGAATCCAGATTCTATTGTAATATCTATAACCTTCTATCAATAAATTGTATATCGATGTGCCGTTATCTGATAAAAAAAATCTTTCTTTTGCTGTACTTTTTATTTCTTTATTAAAGAAGAAGAAAAAGCTTAGCGATCTTTAAACGATTGATAAATAGTTTCAAATTTACGCAGAAGTTTCTCTTCGCTCTATTGTTATAAATAAGAGTAATCGTAATACTCGTTGGACGCATTTTAACGTATTGCCTTTCCAAGATCTACTCTTATTGTTAGTTACCAAATTTCAAAGCAAACTTTCATCTGTTATACAGTAGAATGAGACTACATTTTGACTGGGCTCCCTACATCCACAAGTTCTAAAGTTTCGTGAAAAGCTTAATGAGAAGATCCAACAGTGGTACCTCTCGCACCTTCTCCGAGGTTTACATCGCTGACTTCTCCTCGTTAGTCTACTGCCTGACTCGTGTCCGTTGTCAACTCTCTTAGCTTTCTCCAACCTAATGTCCTTCTCCTGGAAACTAACGCCTGGTTGCCGAACGTGATGCAATGGATAATGCGACAAGTTTGTTGCTAGTAAAATTATATGACCAACTCTCTCCTTCTCTCTCAATTTTCTCAAGATCTTTCATATCCTACTGCAGATTCGTAGTTATAATTTCAATTGCGAGGAAAACCAGAATCACAGCGAATCTATTACAACTGTAATTATTTCGTTCATCAAGTAAAGTCATTGAATAATTATTTAGTAGTTGGAAATGAAAAATTTAATATGATTGATTAATTGAAGAAAAAGTGAAAAATGATCCTTCTTTCTATTTCTTTTTTTATTCATTTCTTTCTCCTGTCTCGCATATTTCACAAGTTCTAGCTATCATTAACTTTATTTTTCTTTTAAGATAATGGTGGCTCGACTACGATGTCGGCAGATTATGAAACGAGTCGAGTGAACAGCACGAACAAGCAGGATTTCAAAAAAATGTGTATTCACTGAAAACGAAAAGACAGAAACGATTACCCGCATGTCGTCTCTATTCATATAAGCTTACATGTGTCTCTATCGGAAAAAAGAGGTTTGCGCTAGATTAACGTCGTTTTTTGAACAACCTTTATGCGATGTCACGAACATAGACTATTGTGAATTCTTCAAAAAGTTATTCTCATATATTCCACACTGACAAAATGAAGATGAATTTCTAACATAATACGAATCGTGAAATAAATTACCACATATCATTGACGATGGATTAAAATAACGTAATATTTTTCATATTCTCGATATATTCTTATATCTTTTCACGTGTAAAGATAAATGACACAAACCAGTAATTCCCGACTTAATTCGTTTCTCTACTTCGGAGATATATAATAAATTACGAACATAGATAATATTAAATTTTGCTTAAAGAGTAAGAAACAGAAGATCAACTGATACGCGTAGTTTCATTTAAAATACATTATAATGACCATCGAATCTTCTAGACGTCTCCATCTGAAAAATATTTTCTCCGTAATATAATTCAACAACAAATAACTTTTATTAAAAATATTTCCTATTAATAACATTCTAGAAATTATTTAAATAGTCGATTGCAGTTAACTTATCACATATTATTTATGTTTCTAATTGCCAGCTGTTTCTAAGATAAAAATTATTTTGTTCTTAGAAAGATAAGAGTCAAGTGATATTTCGTAATGAACTTAAATTATATCGCGATTGCTTTCGCATCGATAATTTCATGAAATATTTTTATCTTTAAGTAATTATAAGAAACTCTTCATTTCAATTATATTTTTCTATATAATCTTGAAAATCTTACTCTCTTGTTATTTTATATATACAATATATATATGTGTGCGTAAATTATGTGTGATTCTCTTCTGAGCATGATCGATCAGCCGTTCGTTCCGCAGGTTAAAGTGACAAATAGCGTTAGGTGTTACCTAAGCTAGTTACAGATCCTTCTGTAAATATAGACGGACAAACGTTTCCTAATTGTAGTGGGAATTGTTTACGCTACGCTTGCCACACCTTCCCACTTTCTCTTATTCCTTCTCTTCCTCTTCCTCTTTCACGATTATTCCATGTTTACCTACACTGTTTCTTGCCTGGCTCTGCCATCTCTTCCGGAAGAACGGAAGACAGTCGAGGCAAAATTCTTGGTATGGATTTGGGCTACAGGTCCTAATTAAGATTGAAGTAAAAATTGTTGGCAGAGTCTTGATAAATTAATGAACGAAAGAACAAGAAATAATAGTAGAAAAAAAATATTTTCCGTAAGCTTAGTAACCCTACCACTCCTTGTCCCCACTATTTATACTTTATTCTTTAATTATTTTGGTAGCAGTTCCTTTCTAGCTTTAAAAATAAATATACATGCATTAGAATAAAATTGTTGTTTAATCGACATAAAACGCACCACGCGCGTTTAACATATCTTCCACTTTAGTGAACTGGTTGCACTGTAATATTACTTTCATCACTCTATTCTGTATATCTTCATTTCTGTTTCACTCATACTTACTAAACGTGTTGCATTCAAAATGTGGAGCTATAATTGTTTCGTACATGCTACACCTTGTATAAATCGATACGTATTACCTTATATCCGGTTTAAGAAGCTCATTTTTTGTCTATTTTTTTCAACATATATTCATAATGGTCATTTAGTCGAAGTTTCTCATCCAACACGAAAAAAATGAAAAGTGATTAGATGAGTTGCGGTAAAACGTAATAACAATGTGGGAATATTCAAGCGGTTGAAAGCGTAAAAGTTTGGGTTCGTAATCGATTAATGGTCAATTGTTCGACTTTATCGTGAACGCTATTGACATATATGCGTTCTACCTCGATCATGGTTACAGCAACTGTGGCACTCAGCTATGTGGTGACGATCGAAATGCCATAAACCAAAACTATAGTGCTCTTCCTCATACTGATAACAGATTTCTATTCATAATGTATCCTCGACAAATAGCGAGCTTATGACTATCGTGATTCGAGCTAAGCGTATTACCAATTAGCTATATTAAAACAATGTATCATAGACAGACGCTTTTACAGAATCATAACGTTTATTCGTATGTACTTACGTTTATACATATGTATGTAGAAGATATTATGAATAAGTAAGTAAACTTGTAACTTTCATAAACTATAATATAAATTCGGATTTTTTATCCATTTAATAAAAATCATCATTACTAACTAGATTATCTTGCATAAATTGTACATTTAATTTAAATATTATATTTTTTGACACTTCTCTACAAGTAATCCATTAAATGATACGATATTCATTATACTTATCGAAGCCATCTTTAATCGTATACGATATTCATTCGCATTTACTCAGAATCTAATCTCGTCGACATCTTATTAAAAACTCTATCGAACGTTAATTTCTTTCTCTATCAACGTAGAAAGTATTTGATCGACGAATCGTTCAATGTGTTTAACTTTTTTCTCTATATTTTATATTTCTCAGAGATAACAGAGCGACGAATCACTTAGAAACTTAATATATTGACAATATTTCTCTATCAGGTCGGCTGGTAATATATGTTAATTCGTGAAAAGAAACTAAAGACTTTAAGTAATGGAGAAAACTAGTAACTGTCACTCTGAGTCTTCTAGGGACGGTCAGTAAGCTGCGGGGCTGCAATGGAAGTTTTCTGTTCGTCTAATTGTCCTAACGAGTAACCTCGCAGTTCGGTTGCCCTTTCCTCCTACCCTTTTATTGCTTTCAGCCTTTTGTACGTGTTCGTTATTTTATATGATAGAATTTAGACAATTAAGTTCACTTGAAAGACATGTAGTAAATAGATAATAACCAAACGTAATGTGGACGACATATCGGAAATGGTACTGAAAGATTAATTAATCATTCGCGAGGAAATAATATCTTTGTATGTAGTAGATATGAAAAGGTATAAGGAGTGTATTAAACTGTAAGACAAAATTAGTCGCAATCCGCATTGTTCTTGGCATTTCGCCGACGGCTTGTCCGTCTAACGTGAGGAAAGAAGAACTAACCACATTTTCCATTCCGGTATATCGTACCTTTTTGAGTGAGCTCGTTAAGCTTGTTGAAATCAAGCTACTACTCTGTCCAGTGTTTCCAAAATATATCCGTGGATAATTAATTGCGATAACATTGAGATACGGCGATCATGCGAGCGCATCTCCTTATGGCCTCCGTGTTTGCGACAGGTGGCAAGAATCGAGTAGTTTGACCAGTCGAAAACTTCGTTTGTCGAATGAATAATGCAACCGTTCTTGGCTTATATGCACTGATCTTAGTTGAAAGAGATCAAGGAAAAGAGAAGAAGAATAAGAAGAACGGACAGAACGAGAAGAGAGAATTGGTAGTCTCGTTTGAAGTCGGCATTTCGTTAAATATACGTATGGAGACATACATACTTATTTCGAATAGGAAGAGATAGAAAATACAGACAAATACAGATACGCTCTATGGTCTCGTAGGCATAAACTTCTAGCATATACCAAAGTTTCAAATCGGACCCAAGCGAGCTCGCATTCATCGTCCATAGGACTGCTTCGTAGCATCAGCAGTCCCATTCACGACGGTGAAACGTGCTTTGCAGTAAATTAACGTTACGCCAGACGCGCGTCTGCTCATTGCCAAGTGATACACCCACACATTTGCGAGAATTGCGCACTACCTTGTTAATTGAAACCTTGTAAGACTAAGTTCTGCTTTCAAAATGATTTCACGACCAGAGGAGCTCATTTTATAAAAAGATAACTCGCAAGTGAAACTTTGGATTAATGAAGGCTTATTGTTTACCGCCTGAATAATAAATCGTCGGAATTTGTAATCAGATCGTTGGATGATCCAAAATTTAGTTTTCAATTGATTCTTTTTCTCGTTTACTTTTCATCCTCTCTCCGTTTAGATGTACTCCTTCTGTTATCGATAAATCTGTTCAAGTTTGATCAAATTTCATGCCTGTTAGAAGCGATATTGCGTTGACATGTATCCAGCAATTGACTTAATGATTCGAGGGAATCTAGTCTCGCTGCAAACCTAAGTGCATACAAGGACTACATATTGGTTGTGAATGGTTACACTGTTAGCAAGCGGCTGAGCAAACTACTGACAACGGTCTTGACAAAGAGAAAGCTAATCTCTCTCAAGTAGTAAACGATAAATTTTTGGAGAAATCTTTTCTTCTGAAAAATATGCAATTTTCTTTGATTCTTTTTGAAATAATTCAATTATTTATTTAAATTCACGATAATCATGAACAAATACCTATTTCGTAAAAAAGATTTATTAACGAGGAAATATTTCGTGTAACATTAAATCTAATTAAATTCAATAAACCATTATAAGCTTAAATATATTTAAGCTTGAAACGAAAAATGATAACAATGTGTATATATATATATCGATTAAACTATGTAGTACGGTTATAGAGGGTTAATGTTCCCTGTTGAGTGCTTCGCACGTGTATGCGCACCTACACATATAAATCGATGATGGCACGTATATAGCAACCGAGGACACCAGCAAGTATAGTAGGTATGTTTGTGATGAACAGTGTACACATAGCAAGGTCGTTGAATTAGATGGAGATGACTTGCTCATGAATTACGGAGGTCATCGTTTATTGTGAAATCGAGGTCAAACATCTAACTGATGATCCAAGTCCATCTTTGACAATTATTATGACTTGGTTGCATTCGGAAGAAAATATTAAGCGATTTTCAAGAAATTGATTTATTATTATGTTTTTTGCTATTCTACAAAAGTAAGGAAATAAAAATATCTAGGATAGATATCTCTCTCGTTTTGCACTTAACGAGCGTTGCAAATATTTGCTTAATCGTATCAATAAATCTATAATAATTTTCTTTTCTTTTTATTGTCATAAGTCAAATATTTAAAATAGAATTTTCAAGCAGTACTGCCTTCCAGTTAATAACATTAGTAACGTTAAAAATGGATATTTTTTTAATTCTTCGGCTAATCTAAATTATTGTGAATTGAGTACTTGTGAGAATTAATTGTTATGATGTATATTATCTTTCGTTGTACCTTGACTCAGGTATTACTCATGTCATATTGAAAATAAAATAATAGAAATGATTAAAAACAGTAGATTAACGGTGTAATGTATCATAAGAGCATGGAATTCTTCGAAAAAGAGTTTCCAGAAATATACTGTAAATCGATACAGATAACTCATGATAACAGAGATAAGAACTCTTGATGTGTATTTAAGCGGAGCGTTGACGTACTTTCAGCATAGTCGAGCTACTTCTTTCTTGAGTAAAGGTAGAATAGTGGAAAAATAAAGATAGAATCAAGATGTTTGCGCAAAAGCTGGTAATCTTTATGGCTGTGATGGTGGCCGCAGTGGTAGCATCAGAATACGTTCCAAGAGCTTATTTCGAACCATTTGCTGCCAACAAAGCTCACAACCTTACCATTGGATACAGAGTACCAGGAGACAGGCTCGTCCTAAGATCAGGCGTCTCTAAAAAATCTTCATGGTTGCAAGTCGTAACTACTGAAGTAACCTTTAACGTAAGCAGATTCGATCGCATCACTATGGTTGCTGCATACGATCAAAAAAGCGATGGTACAGGAGCTTACGCTAGTCTACTGAAGGGTGGTCCAGGATATTCAAACGTCACAATGCGTTTCAAGAGTCAAAGAAATCATGGCATCAACTTCGTCGTCGAAGTTTACGCAAGATCTTAAGAAGGACAGGATGTTACTGATGGATCCGAAAATTTATGATATCACTGCAACAGTACTATCTTTCTACACACAATATTCAATCTATCTTCATATATAACAAGTATATAATTTTTTGTTAATTGTATTACATCATTATTGAAATTGTCTGTTTCGTATTATGCGATTGGAGAAAAAAATAATAAGAGCTAAGCTCTAATTATCTTACAATTTTAATTGGAAATAAATATCAATATACATTTGATACCTTGACAAAATTAATTGGAAATATCTCTTTTGTAAATTTATCAAATCTTGAAATTTAGCCTCTTGAGATGGAAAATGTACCGAGGATTTCTGAATCTCTCCTTCATTCCTTCTTTCCTTCCTTCCTTCTTTCCTTCCTTCCTTCGTTCGTTACTTTCAAGAAACAAGAGACATTCACGCTCTATGTAACATCGATAATAATGCGATTAACGCGAAAGGACAGAGATTTGGGAAAAATACAGAACGAGAAGAAATCGTTAGTGGAATAATTTCTTGTACGCGCTAATGAAGGAATCTGCTCTTTATTGAGCCTCTCGATAATTCTAATCTCTTTCTTTCATTCTTTAATTTTTTTTCGTGCCTATCGAGAAAACACAATGACCTTGTTTCATAATCATACTCTTTTCAGAAAAGACAAAAAAAAATCGATTAAGTGAGAGTGAGGTAGAGATAGAGAGAGAGAGAGAGAGAGAGTAAATTTCTTCGGGAAGGTTTACACAGTATAATATAAGTTTTCATGTAACTATGTATATTCAGAATGTTGAACACGAAGTAGGAAAAACCATCTCGGACATTGTTGCTATTCTGTGCACCTTTTCATAGTGTCCAGTTGTAGAGCAATATTGTGAATCGTGTGAAGATCATCACAATTGTATAAGAAAATATCTTCGAACTTGCAATATACGATTTTTTTTTATCTCAACCTAGTTATTTTATCTTTTTTTTCTCTCTTTCTCTTCCTTCTCGCATTACACTCACGGTCCCTTATAAAAACATTTGTTCTGATTTTCCATATGAAAGGTAAACGAAAAATATTATTAGATGTAACAAATGGTATGAAGAAACTATAAATTTACATTGATTAATTTAAATTATGTTTTAATGAATTCTCACAAGAAATGAGACTAAAATTAGATCATAAAATTAATATCGAGAGTTAATATCGAACACGTGATCAATATATTTCTTATTTATTAGATTTCTAAAAAGCATTATATCGATTATCTTAGTATTATAAATAACATAGATAGTAATTTTTTGAAGTTTATAATCAATATATATCAAATATAGTTAATTGCAGTGATATCTTTCTACAAATTTTTCAATTTTTGTGATTTATCGTTAATTCATACCTGTATAAAAATGTAAAAGCTTATGTAATATTTATTTGTGTTATTATTGCGATCTAAATTGATTGACTATGTCTGTTCATTAGAGATAATAATCTTTTGGTGTTCATTGGAAATACATACATTCGCAGGTGGCGTACAGACAGCTAAGATTCGAGATTACAGAAATAACCGAGCATATTTTTCAAATTAAATACACAGAGCACTCTACTTACTATAAAAACACTTATTTAATTTTTATTATAGACTGTAGATACTATATACCAATATAGAAACATTAAGTTCTGCTATTTGTTTTTTTTTTACATCAGAACATTCTAAACTAGACTTTTGAAGTTATTGTTAGAATTGATAATGACTTATCTAGAAGCTCGTAAGAAGTTGAGAGTTACTTTAAGTAACTAAGTTTATTTTATTTTTTTCTTTGGACAGGTGGAAGCCAAGTCACATATCGCGCATACATTGATCCGAATATGGCAAGTATATTTTTCTTTTCTTTCTTCGTAATCATAAATCGAGGTACTTGTAGCTATATGTGGACGATAACGCACATAAAGAATATTATTTCTACCTAAGGTAGTTATATACAGGTTTTCGAACTTTCTCAGTTATTTTCGCCTTCTATTCTTTGCGATCGTTACAAGTAGATGTAATAATACCTACGATAGTTTATTCTTAGTAAAGAAATTGAGGTCCAAGGTGCTATATGCGAATGATAAAGTTTACAGATTGACTTACCTTTGTGAATGGTAGCATGTGTTCTTGTAGCTGAAATAGTAGTCATTCATTATGCATCATGAGATTGTATAAGAATACAATTTCTTTTATTACCTTGCTATATTTCTCCGTTGATATTATTGTGACCTATGTCTACAACATTATCGACGTTTCTAAAGTTCTATTTTAAAAGACGAATGTGAATTCTTAAACTTTACGATATTCTTATACATATTTTGATGAAATAGGTTATTATAATTATTTTTATATACATTGGTACTATATTTTAAATTAGATCGTTCCAGAATGTATATCAATATTTTATAGAAAATGATTTATTTAATGAGAATTGCAAATATTTCTAATTTTTGTTTCTTTTTTATAGATACGAGAAACAAATTCATTCGATTTGATTAAATATATTTTTAAAAATACAAAAGAGAAACAAAGTACCTCTTAAAAGGATGACTCTGTATGAGAAATTGTATACTCTTTACGTTTGTTGGTAGTCATAGGAAAAGCCACAACTATAAAATATACTGCGGCCATAAAAAGAAAATTCAAGTCGCAGCAATTTGACCGAAAGTAGAAAGAAGATTTTCTGTGAAGAAAAAACGCGTAAAGAGCAACATTTACGATCATAAACTCGTAACAACATACATTCGTTTGGTTATCGTTTTTAAAGTCGCGATGCTGGAAAATGTATTATACATACAGCTATGAAAATGATGCTAGATAGATAGACTGACGTCTTGATGACAGGATCATGCAGTAATGTGAGATTATAAGGGAACAGACACAATAGTGTTAAATTTTATGAAAGAATTGCATCTCAATTTTCAACAGCGATAGATGTAAGAGGAGAGCACAATAATTTCTATTTATTATTGTAAATAAATAATTCTACTCCAACGACATTACAACCTTTTTTTCACTTTTCTTACCTTTTTGTGAAGTAGACAGTAATACTCAGCGTGTAATTTTTATGCAACATTTTGCATATTACTTGACACGAAGGACGTTAATACAAATGTTATTCAAGATATCCAATGGTTTTCCTATCTTTAATCCCTAGTTAAATGTTTTATTGACATAAGAGTAATATAAAGAGATAGAAGTATAGAAATAAGCGACATGTATGAATATGAAGTGTACATTATGCGTCAACGATGAAATCGCAAGTATTACGCAGCAAAGTCCTGAGTAAAATACTTTTAATGGATTGAATGTCTGACTTGCAAGTTCTGTTAGAATGTTAACATAGCACAACTCGCTTGGATTTTTGTCGAGTTCACTCCATATTGCCGGTCAAAATGTTTAATGTATCGTTCTCTTCTTGGATGAAATCGGGAACGTTTATTTTTACTTGCCGTTGAGAGAGTACTTCTTTTATTGATATATTTTGATAGAGAAGTACATCGGTATAGTAGTGTATGGCTCATTGGTACTTATAGTATTGACGATCATGATCTTGTGAGAGTTCAGATACCAGATCCTCAATCCTTTGATGCTAATCCTGCCTGTTGATTGGCCGCAAATGCAAGATCAGAGACTGGACATCGACAGGGTTTCCACGTGGATCAACTGTGGCGACCATGTGGTCAGCTCGTTAACTGATATGAACTGTACATCCACATAGGGTAATTGACGTTTGTGTACATGTGATGAGCGTTGGCTAATATCCTTTGACAGGATTACTCGAGAAGGAACCGAATAGACATGATTATCGTATTGGAAAGAAAAGATTCCGACGTATTTGATCGAGGTTGCTTTAGGATGCATCCGTCGATGAAAATTACAATGGAAAAAAGTTTGATAGATTTGGACGTTCTATTTCGTACAGCATGACCTTACATTTATGAAAAAAAGAGTTACATCGTTGATGAACCATGAGATTAATTATTTCTTCTACGATAATATGACATTAGCATATTAGTTGAATTGTAGTGTACGTTGCACTCTAGAAAATGGCGTGACATATCGGGCGAGACTTGAGAGAAGGCAAAGGACGTAAAGTGGTGGGCGTTTAGACAGGTAGATAAACTATGAACGATGGTAATAGCCGACGGAGGCATAAGGGTTTTACGTCAATGAATACTACCCTGACATTTCGGTGCCTTTGCGTCTATCGATTTCGTTCTACCTCGACATCTCGCATAATTCCTAGTAGAATAAGAAGTTTACCGAGTATTGACATATCGCGACACTCTTGTCTCCCCTTATTATCGAATATTTTATTTCACCTTAATTTTCGTGATTTTATCGAAACGATTCAACGATAGCAAGCGGGGTACTTTTGATAATAATCGAATTTACATATCAAAGCTTAAAAATAATCTACATTAAAGTAGAATCGTTATGAAGATATTTATACCAACGGTATATACTATTTTTGTAAAGTGAGTTCCCGTTCATACTCTGGAAGTTTACATCTGTCCGCAAAAAGGTTTAAAACGGATTGCAAATGACGTAGAAAACACGAGTATGTTTGCATAGGAGAAACACAGAGGGACAGTTCGGAGCCAACGCGTAGTTTCTCGTTCTGGTCAGTGGAAAAGGCTCGTATATGCCAGTTGGATAACTTATGTCACGGAGCGTGGGTATACGGAACGGTATCGATCCTAGCATTAAATATTTAATCGTAGAAAGAAAGTTCAATACACGTACGATGAGGACGGTTGTCTTTCCAAGATAGGCCTGTATTCTCGAAACGAATACTGCTATAGGGACGAAGTAGCGCGTGACTAAGCTTTGTTCCTTCGACGTTTACTAAGCAAGAAAAACTTTTATTACTTATTGTTAGAATCGTTTCTACGACTTTTGTTGACGTTCCAAAGAGATTAATAAAGTACTTTTCTCCTTAAGAAAAAAACAAACGAATTTCGTGTTAACCTTAAAAAGATTCTATTG